AACTCCTGAAGAGATCCTCAAAGTACGTTATATAAATATATTCATATATTCACAATTTCTTTTATTGCTCATATATATATATGAGTAATCACGTAACCAACACATATATATATATTAATACTTTTTCTTTAACTTTTATTGAAGACTGTATGGTTGAAGGAAAAAGTCATACGATGTGACCAACTGAAAGCAATTCAAGAGACCATAGCATGATTTCTTAATGACTAGGTCCTAAACCCTGCTGGTGAGTTCTACAATGACATAAACGAAACATGGAAGCCAAACCAGATGGAGTGAATTTGTTATCCCAAGGATATGATAGAATATACAATGCAAGCTTTATTTGTAATATATATATATATATATACATATTATATGTACATATAATAATGTACAATATATGTATATGCATGTAATATATACGTTAGTTTCATACTTTAGTTTATACAAAATGTTCAAACATTATAAACGTGTAGAATACGTATATTATTAGCAGCGTAGAATGCGTATTCGAAAACCTATTCAAAAACCAAAACGAATCATCAATTGAAAATAGAAAAAAAAAAAAAAAGAAAACCTTTAATCCCGGATGGTAATATCAACCGGGACTAAAGGGTCGGCCCACGTGGCCAGGCCGGGAGGCCTCTTTAGTCCCAGGCAAGAAACCGGGACTAAAGGAGGGGCCCTTTAGTCCCGGATTCGTGCTCCCGGTTGGGAAACCGGGACTGAAGGGGTTTCCCAACCGGGAGTACAGCTTGTTTTTATACTAGTGTCATACATTAAGCAACTCTATCCATTCTAAATTATAAGTCATTCTAACTTTCTTGTAGACTCAAATAATCTCAATTGTCACCAAATTTATAGAATAAATATAATAAAATTTATGATACCTAATAAATATTATTAGATTCTTTATTAATTGTATTTTTATAGTATATCTATTTGATATCATAAACATTTGTATTTCTCTCTATAATTTTGGTCAAACTTGAGACTCTTTAACTCTCTAAAAAAATTAGAATGACTTATAATTTAGAACGGAGGAAGTAGAAAACAGGTATTCAGTCATTCAGTAAATGGAATGACATTTTTATCTCTATTCGGCATGAAAACAGATAAGATCTATTTAAAGTAGAACAAAAAAATGGACGTCATGAAGGATATCAGCATGCTGATGCTGTTTGATCCTGGCATATATAATATGGAAGTTGCTAGTGCTGTCACTAACAGAGCCAATGTTCGCACTAGAAGTTGCTAGTGTTGTCACTAAATGCTGATTTGAAGTTGTGAATTGATGTTGATTTGACTTTTTAAATTGAATGGTTTAATCAAGTTGAGCCTCTAATTATTGTGTCAATTAGAGAATTTTGTCACTAACAGACCCAATGTCCGCACAAGAAGTTGCTAGCGCTGTTACTAAATGTTCTCAAAACGCTCTTCCCGTCGTTGTACAATATTGTGAGAAAGAGAAGTGCATCTGTTAGGTCGGTGCTGTCTACGATACCGTTAAATGTAGCTTTCAGGAGATCTCTTATGGGAGTTAACTTTCAAGCATGGCACAATGTCGTGGCCATGGTGGCGAACGTACAATTAAAGAAACCAAAGAGATCAATTTGTGTGGGGGCTGCATTAGAACGGATTGTTTTCAGTCAATTCCATGTACAGAGCTTTGTTAGGAGTACAGGCCTTACCTTATAACACTTTTATTTAGAAACTCAAAATACCCCTTAAAGTTAAAGTCTTTATGTGGTACTTGTACAAGGGCGTAATTCTAACGAAGGATAATTTAGCTAGGCGACAGTGGCAGGGAGACAAGAAGTGTTGTTTCTGTTCGTCCAACGAGACTATACAACATTTACTCTTTGATTGTCATTATGCTAAATTTATTTGGAGAATTGTTCATGTTTCCTTTCACCTAAAACCCCCAACTAGTGTACATAATTTATTTACAAGTTGGTTGGAAGGGTTAAACAGGAAAATAAAGTCTCAAATTCTAGTGGGTGCAAGTGCCATTTGTTGGGCACTTTGGTTAACATGGAATGAAGTTGTGTTTGACAAGGTCATAGCACCGTCCTATTTGTAGGTTATTTTCAAGGGGACGTACTGGACCAGGTCCTGGACCTTACTTTCGAAGGCGGAGGAGGATCGCCATTTGATGAAGGCAGGGTGCAAGACTATTGAGTCAGCCGCGATGGAGGTGTTTACAAGACACGGCTGGAGATTTAGCAATAAAATTGCACTTTAGTTTTCCTTTTTGAAAACTGTCTTCTTGATGGCTCAAAACTTCGTTTTTGAGATTCCTTGGATTGTGTGACGCTTGCTTGTAATAATAAACAGCCATATGCATTAGTCGATGCAGAAGCTGGGATATTAATATATTCCCTTTTCTAAAAAAGTGCTGTCACTAAATGTTGATTTGAGGTTGTGAATTGATGTTGATTTGACTTTTTAAATTGGAATGGTCTAATCAATTTGATCCTCTAATTATTTTGTCAATTAGAGAATGCGAGGATTGTAACTGCAGCAAAAGGTTGCATATATGCCAATTTAGTATCTCAATCCAGAATCTCTATCCTTTTGATACCTATGTTCCATCACTAACAAAATAGAGAAATGCTTGGACAATGTACTGTTGCTTTAACTAATCTTAATAAAATTTTGGTGTCCGAGGTCATATACAAGTGACGTGTTTCATCCAAATGAGTCACTGATAACAACTCGTCTTATAATTGACGCGTCAAGAGTCTTTGATACCTAGCCATTAGTGATGGTTTTGTTTAGTGGCCATGGGCTCAGTGACATGTTCTGTTTACCGACATCACTGATCCAATATTAGTGACACATTTCAATTCTGCATCACTGGTTAAGGTGTCTCCTTTGTGCTGTTTTGGCATAGTGTGTTGCTGCTTGGACTACAACTCAACATTGATAATAAACCATGTGATAAGAGTCCAACATAGGAGTACATTAAGTCCCAAAGAAGGAGATAGCAGATTGACAGAACCCTTGACCAACTCTGTGAATCTTTCGGGCGCTATACCCATCGGGTATGCTCGCACGTACCCTCTAGTGGAGCCAGGATGAACCTGAGCACACCCTTGCCTATCGCTTGGGACCTAGGGGCTCGGCCATGGTCCTAGGAGGCCAAGCCACACCTCCACCCTGGCTGCTGCCTGGACTTTTCACCTGGATGCCAATTGACGCCCCGAGCCAGAACTGGAAGTCGACACAAGAATCTGAAGCCGACTCAAGAATCTATCAGGTGCATAGAGGTTGACAGACGCTGAGGTGCTGGACCATCTACACGTTCCACAGGCGTGAGGCACTATCGGACACTCCATCGGTAGGGTCACGCAAGGGGCGATACGCATCAGGACAAGGGACTTCCCAAGCCCTAGGGGCTGAGGGCTCTAGGCCCGTTCGTCAGCCCCTCTAGGCAGGGGAGGCACTCTGCAGACCAAGGAAGCTTCGAGAAAGGCTCATCGGGGTAGGCGGCACAATGACAGGCAGCAACCGGTGGTAGCGCCAGACTATGGCAGCAATGTCAGGGAGTGGTTGCAACATTGTTGGCCCCCAAAGATGACAAAGAAGGACCAGACTACGCCTAAGACAAAGTAACGACAAGCACCTATGGGAGATGTCATAGGATAGAACCAATCATATTTGTACGCCCATGCCCTCCTCAGTATATAAGGTGAGGCATGGGCTCCTATATTATGTACTGAACAAAATGATGGGGGAGATTTAACTTTTTACCATTATAACAAATGGCACCTCCTCAGATAACACTTTAACGATTGCCAATACAACTTTATTAGCAGAGCGAGAAAAGTTATACGAAAATACCACATTTGCTCACGTGCCACACCATCAATGCACTCCAGGTTGGATCCGAGTCAGCGAGGTGTGGCAAATGACCATGGTTGCCCCTAAACCATCACGAAGAGCCACCACGCATGCCTCCACTGCCTCCCGCGCGCGCTCGCAGTTCGTCGCACAGGTTCGCCGGGGATAGGGCGGCCGCCACCATAGCCACCAGACTCTGTTCCGTGTCCCCGCGGGGGTTCGCGCGCAATCTTAAGGAGCGCGAGGTGCGCGGTCGCGGCTGCATGGTTGCCGTCAGCGGCCTCAGATGGAGACGAGGAGTTCAACGGAGATGCAGACACGAAGCCGTGGACGACGAAGCCGATGTGCTCAAGCGCGCGCTCCGCCTGGTGGTGACGCAGGGCGCGCACTTGGGCGAGGTGACGCTCTGCTCCAGCATGGGCCTCGCATCTCCCGGCAGCGCATGGTGGACGCCGGCGTGCTCGGTCTAGCGCATGGTGACGGAGCCGGCCAGGGCGCTACTGGAGGAGTTGTGCGTGTCCGCGACCGCTGACGCGTGTGCCGTGCGCAGGCTAGTGGCCGTGGGCGGCTGGGCCGCGTCCCACGAGGTGCTGCGGGAGATGGCGCACATAGGCGCTGTGGGGAAGCTCTGCCAAAGGTGCTACGAGGCACCTGGGCCTGGGCGTGTTCGCTGAGGCCGCGGTCGACGAGGATGTCGACCGAGCAGCCACCACCTATTCAGCTGTTGGAACACCTCAAACGCCACCACCTGCTCCGTCCACTGCCCCTTGTTGTTGAAGATGGGCATGCCATCGCGGCGTGCGCGCTGCACCAGGCTTATGGCCGCCAACTGCTCCGAGAGCTGCCTTGCGTTCGGGTAGGCGATAACCGGGCAAACGACTGTGCTGCACCAGGCTTGTTGAAGATGGGCATGTCATCGATGGGCTCGCGAACGACATAATAGGGTGGGCAAAGCGTTTAGAACGGGTCCCCATGGAGTCCCGCATGAACCGCGGCCGACGCTGCGTTGGGGCGCGCCGCCATCCCCGGACCCTGACCCGTCGGACGACGCGCTGTCCATGTCGGAGGACAGCGCCAGCAGGTATTCATCCACACCGTCCACTGACGCGCGCCGCGGTGTCCCCCGCAACGCCGTCTACCGCACGGCGCCGAAGATGGCGGCAATTGCCTCCTTCTTGCTCGAAGCAGACCACGCCAGGGTCTTGGCGAGCGCGCGGCCGTCGCGCTCGCGCCCACACGGCGTCGACGCTGGCGGCCACCGGTACGTGTTCTGGCTTGTGTCGGACACCTTGGCGCGCGCAGTGGGCCTCTTCGGTTCCCGCATGGCCATCGCCGTCTCCGCGACAGGTGACGCGGAGGCGGAGCTCGCCCTGCCTATTTCCAAGGAGTATGCCGGGCTATGGAACGCGACCGCGAGCGTGCGTCTCGTCGTGGTAGCGCCCCCGTCGGAAGCCCCCGTGTCGTCCGTGGCGGCTGGCAACGTTGGCGAGGTGCGGGAGCTGGCCGACGAGGGCGCGTCGCCACAGCGGCTCTTCATGATGGCCTGCTACGTGGGCGGCGCCGAGGAGTGCGCCACGACGGCCAAGTCCGGGAAGCTGCGGGAGCGTGTGCGGCAGCGAGGCGTGGGCGACCAAGGACGGCCGCGCCTGTGAGGTCTGCGGCGGCGCACGGCCAAGGACAGACGAGATCGAAACAAACGGTGAACCGGAGCCCGAACAGCTGATGGACAAGGGCAGGAGAGACATTTCACACGCGCATGTTGACTTGGATCTGTGCTGGCACAAGGGTTGGCGTGCCACATGAGCAAAAGTGTTATTTTTGTATCTGCTTTCTTTCTTCACTGGCAAAATTGTAGTGGCAACTGTTATGATGTTATCTGAGGAGGTGCTAATTCTTATAATGGTAAAAAGTTAAATCTCCCAAATGATGGTAGGTGATACGTCGCTGTTAGTCTTGTAGTCTATTCGTTCCTGAAGCCTTTGCATAAACTGCAGGGCTAATTCAACACCGCTTCACAGGAGCCCCTGCTGCCACTGCCGCTTAACTCAACTCGCCCCGCCCCGCCCCGCCCCGCATAGAGCTGACAGACTCAAGCACACCATCAGCGCGAGGCGCTTGTTTTGCAGCCGAAATCAGCAGCAACTTAAGCCACGGTAGACCAAGGAAACGCCATCGTGGGCGGGATTCTAGGAGCAGTTGCACACATCTCACCCGTGTCTCGACGTCGCCGTTCCGCAGCCGGATCGGAGCTGGCGGAGGCCTCCGTCCATGCTAAGACTGAGCCAGCGCTGCGCCACCGAACAAGCACCAGTTGGGCATTAACTTGCCTCCCAGTCCCATCAGATTCCGCACATTCTATCGAGAACTTATGCGACCAGTAGAATATTGTAGGTTGTTGACATCACTGTTTCCGTTTGGTCATAGCATTGTCTTACATGCTCATCGATCCTTTACCATTGTTTCCATAAACCAGATTGAGCTGTAATGCCCAAGGCTCAAACCCTATGTAGCACTACTATTTTGTAAACGAATTACTTAATTTTCAGTTATGCTGATGGATCGATGGATCAATTTCAGAAGCGGGCGTGCGAGCTAGCAGAGGAATTACTCGATGGTAGGAGCGCAGGACCTGACGCATGCATGGAAAGCATGGGGTGTCCAGGTGCTCGTGTCGCTCAGCTTCATGCTCCAAGTGACTCTTGTCATCTTGGCGGAGTTTCGCCGGTGCATCGACTCTGGTATGCTAAGGATCTTTGTGTGGTCGGCGTACATGGCGGCTGACGCGACGGCAATCTATGTGCTGGGTCACATGTCTGTGACCAGCAGATCGCCGGAGCATGAGCTGATGGCGTTCTGGGCGCCCTTCCTGCTGATGCACCTAGGTGGGCAGGACAGCATCACCGCCTACGCCATCGAGGACAACCGGCTGTGGCTGCGTCACCTGCAGACGCTTGCCGTGCAGGCAGCTGCAGCTGGTTACGTCCTCTATGAGTCCTTCGCTGGCAGCCTGTCGACGACGTTGCTTCGATGGGGCACCGTGATTATGTTCATGGTAGGTGTTGTCAAGTATGGGGAGAGAGTTTGGGCTCTCAAGTGCGCCAGTAGTAGCCCACAGGGGAAGAACTACAGGATGTTTCAGAACATAAACATGATGTATAAAACTGACCGTTATCTGCAGAAGGTAGTATCTGGAGGCCCCATGGACACAGAAGCTTACCTAATGATGGCTCAGCAAATACTGGATGTTCCTATGGATTTGCTCAAGGGGCTGCAAACTAGAGTACTTGGAGATTCCAACCCATACAAGCTTCATACGGATCTGCGTGAGGAGGGGCGACTGTACAAGGTAGTTGAGCTGCAAATATCCCTGATGTATGACGTCTTCTACACCAAGGCGGAGGTGTTGCACGGTAATCTGTATGGCCTCTGCATCCGTATGCTATTGGCGATGGCTACCACCGCTGCATTCTTGTTGTTTCACCTGCTCATAGTATTGGGTTATCATCGTCGTCATTACAACAAAGTAGATGTAGCTATCACTTATGTTCTGTTAGCTGGGGCAGTCGTTCTAGAGACCGCATCACTGTTGAGGGCGATGTTCTCGAGCTGGACATGCGCTCTCCTGATAAGGTGGATGAAGAGGAATGAGACCTACGAAAGGACGACGACGAAGCACAGTCGTCTAACACTTTTCTTTGTGTGCAATCTCATGCGTGTCCGCAGGCTCATCCACGTGGCAGATTGGAGATTTAGTTGCAGTTGGTCGCGCTCCATGGGGCAACACAGCCTGCTTCGGGTGTGTACTCGCAGTATCACCAGCCGAAGAAGCAAGATAGCAAGATGGATGGAAGCCGAGGACTGGTGGAACACGCTGGCTTACTCGTGGTCCATCCCGGTGTCGGCATTCATCGAGAAGGTGTTAATGGACAAAGTGCTATCATCATGTGAAGACGGAGACGGTGACCAATATTTTGATTCAAGGGGTCAAAAGGAGCTGAAGCAACGGGGACTCTACGAGCAGGAGGGCCTGGACTGGAGCCTTGAGAATAGAATCATCGTCTGGCACATGGCCACTAGCATCTATCTCAGCTGGTGGCACAAGAAGCAGGCAGAGGCCAGGACGACAGAGACGACGGCACTACCCATGGCTCAGGCCGTCGAGGTGCTCTCCAATTACATGATGTTCCTCCTCGCCTCACGGCCTCACATGCTGCCACCCACTGCCAGCCGCAACGCATACGTGGAGATCTGCTATGTTCTCACCAGCATTCGTGGTGGACACGGCCACAGCACAGTCGAGGATCTCGTCGGTGAGCTACGGAGCATTGCCGATGCATTGGAGAGGATGCCTACAATACGAGGTCAACTTGAAGCGCGTTTACGGGCATCGTGTGCGCTTGGGGCAATGCTCATCGGGGAGGGGGAGGCGGAGGAGTCACGGGGCCAAGAAAACAAAGCGCTGGAACTGCTCGCCCAGGTGTGGGTGGAAGCTATGTGCTACGCGGCCCAGCGATGCAGCGCCTACTCACATGCCAAGCAGCTCAGCAACGGTGGCGAGCTCATCACCGTCGCTGCCCTTCTACTGGAACACACGAAAAAAATTATCGTCATCGACAATACTACCGACACAGAGCTCTTCAACCACGAGAAGTTTGGTGCTCCCCTTCATGGCATGGAATCATAGTCAACGACATGCATCCTCCCTTGATTGATAGCGTGTAGTCATACCTCGTACGTACCATCGATCTGAGTGTGCCTTCTCAATTGCTTGTACAACTACTAGGCCTTGTTTAGATTCCAAGTTTTTTCACTCTCTCTCCATCACATCAAATTTTTAGACACATGCATGGAGTATTAAATGTAGATAAAAAAATAACTAATTACACAATTTGATTGTAAATTACGAGACGAATCTTTTGAGCCTAGGTAGACCATGATTGGACAATAATTGTCAAATACAAACGAAAATGCTATAGTGCCAAATACTGATTCCTAACCGCAAACTAAACAAGGCCCTAGTAATTGGCTGTTGTTTGTTGGTGGCTCGTTGAATTGAATGACTGAGTAGTTGGCCGTTGTTTGAATTGAATGCGGGTTGCTTGAATGTTTCTTCAGCCTTCGTTGGGTGAATGTTTCTTCTCTTTTTTTTATGATTTTCTAGTTGTAGAGGTATATTTTTTGCCTTCGAAATTTTTAACGAACCCAATGCATGAACACTGGACACAGGGCTTCAAAACTTTTTATGATAACAACTCTTCTTAGCATTGACGCGTCTAGTTGGGAAGAGCCTTTGGTAACTACTCCCTCCGTCCCTGAATACAGGGTGTAACTACTTTTTTTTAGTCCGGAAATACAAGGCGGCGATCTCTCGGTGGCTGTTCACGGCCGCATGCAGCATTTAGTGCTGCGTCGCCCGTCTCCTGGGCTCCCACGATGCAAGCAGCTGGCCATTACTCACAGCGCATGCATGTTGTTCTCTAGAGCCAGACTAGTACTCCTATAGGTTGATGCATGCACGCATGAACGACATCTAGTTAATTAGATGCGGAGTCGAAGTGCTCTCCTTGGAAGGCACATCAATAAATTTGTTTATTGGTCTTTGAGAAAATGAAGTTACGCCTGGTATTCAAGGACAGAGGGAGTAGCCATTAGTGACGCGTTTTGTATAGTGGCCATGGGCTCAGTGACATGTTCTGTTTACCGACGTCACTGATCCTATAACGTGTTTCAATTCCGCATCACTGGTTAAGGTGCCTCCTTTAAGCTGTTTTGGCGTAGTGTGCTGCTGCTTGGACTACAACTCAACCATCAACATAGGAGTATGTTAAGTCCCCAAACAGAACCGCTGACAAACTCTGTGAATCGCTCGGGGGCTATACCCATCGGGTACACTCACACGTACCCTCGGTGGAGCCAGGAAGAATCCGAGCACACCCTTGGCCATCGCTCGGGACCCAGGGGCTCGGCCTTGGCCCTAGGATCCTGAACGACAGGGAGCCCAAGATAGACCTCCACCCTAAGTGCTGCCCAGGCCTTTGCTCGGACGTCAATCGACGTCCCGAGCCATAGCCAGAAGCCGACTCAAGAATCTATTAGGTGCCCAGAACCTGACTGACGTAGAGGTGCTGCACCTTCTACCTGTTCCACACGCGTGAGTCCCTATCAGACACTCTATTGGTAGGGTCACGCAAGGAGGGAGATGCATGAGGACAAGGGACTTTCCTAAGCCCTAGGGGCTGAGGGTTCCAGGACCGCTCGTTTTCCCCTCAGGGTAGGGGAGGCAACTTGCATACCAAGAAAACCTCAAGAAAGGCTCGCCAGGGGGAAGTTGCACAATGATAGACAGCCCTGGCGGTCAAGCGCTAGATTACGGCAGTAATGCCAGGGAGTGGTTGCGACATTGTTGGGCCCCCAAGATGATAAAGAAGGACTAGACGACTCCAAGACAAAGGAACGGCAAGCACCCAGGGAAGATGCCATAGGTTAGAACCAATCCTATTTGTATGCCCCTTGCCCTCCTCGATATATAAGGTGAGGCATGGGCTCCTGTAGAATGAGAGATTGATCGAAACCATTGACAACCGAATGGATGAATGATCAGCCCGAGGTAGAGATGAAGAACCCTGGGATAGCACCATGCAATCCCCGGCAAAACTCTCTCATCAATTCCTCTGTTGTAAAACCTCGATTGAGCATTCTTAACACAAAGAACACCGCACTACTTGTCGGGGTTGTAACCCCGGGGTACCTCAAGGCATCGATTAGTTAGCAGGCCATGCGGCCCTCAACGCGCTAGCTAGTAAAGGCCCAAACGACTGAGGCCCAGATAAGCCAAGCAAGCCAGGTTTACGCTCAGGCCAGGGTCAGCCATGACCCCTTACCCTACCTTAGTCACAGGGAGGACACATGACCTCTCTCCATCGCGACATCTAGATAGGACGAGGGGAGGTTGGGCATCGCTCGGTGTGCTTTCCCTGAATGGAGCAGGCACTTCCTACTGACCTCACAAGGGTTGACGGGACAGCGGTCACCTCGGCCCGGTCAGGCGTCAGCTCCATGCCACGCCACACAGACAAGACAACACCGGGCAGCAGGGGCGATGGGTACGAAACCCATCATCCAAATACGGATCGACAAGACACGAGCACGACCCCGCCACGAGGGGGGATCCACAACAAGGGTCATGATCCAGCGAACTTCCCAGCTAGCAGAGTGCCCCGACCCCAAGGATCGGGGTCCAGGCCCTCAGCCCCACGACGCGACCAAGCAAACAACGACCCGGGGTAGTTACCTGTTATAGGTACAACATCCTGGGAAACCTGTGGACAACAAAAATGACCATGACGAATGCCGCGTCACCTAGGACTACTGAAGAACCATCACCATGGCTACAATGCTGCCACAGCCAGCACAGTAGCCCCACGACGGGTCCTGCCACGGTGTGGCCATAAGGTTCTTACCAACGTAAAGCAGTGGATGGTACAACCGGTGGCTAGTTGTGATACCTGTGAGGAAGTAGCATCAAGATTGCAAGGGTCTTTTTCTGTACCAATCTGATGTATATGTGGAGTTTGGGAGGCACACAAAAGAAAAAATATGTATACGTGGCACACAAGTCATTAACATATAGCAACATTGAAAAAATGTCTACAGCACTTGTCCTAGTTGCTGGCCTATACGTTTTCCTAGCACCAGTTGTGACGAACAAGGGAGTGAAACAAGTATGAAAAGTAGCAATGGAAATACAGACAAGGCAAAAGGCACCACAAACAATAGAGCTATTGAGTGTTCCTTATGTGCTCCTTTTCTCTTCTCTTCTTTTTTCTTTTACTATTTTTTTCTTTCCTATTTTGTCAAACTTTTTTTGATTTTGCTCTTTCGATATTTTTTTCTCTGAAAGGAGCACACAAGAATAAACCATAAAAATTTGAGCTCAATTGGATAAAAGATGTAGCCTATAGAAAATCAGGACTGTACTCCAAAAAGCATACCAAAACATGTGGGCCTCGAAACTCAATTTTCCTTATCGAATTTCACAGATCTAATTTTTGTGAACCCAGCTTTGCTGGGATGAAACGAATCTAAAATTTTCTGATGTTCTCCATAATATAAAATTCGCCCTGTTTCGAGTTTGGATGCAAAAGTCATAAATGTTTTAAGGAAGTTGCTCGCATCAGGGTTTTATATGGACAAACGGTGTAGATTTTTGGGTGGTGGTAGCTAGGGTTGTTGGAAAACAACGGGGGATCACACAAACTAGTAAAGAACATGATCTAAACCAGCGACAAGACCTTGACCTAGGACACAAACTCAACACGGCGGACTCTAAAATTGAATCATGCATTGGCTATGGCGCGGATGGTTATAGGATAGGAAATAAGTATGGCGGTGGACTATGGGACGAAAGTGAAAATACTCGAACTAAGAGTAAGATGCGAGCTTGACGGTATACCTGAAATCATCTTGTCGACGAAAACTACATTTGAATTTTCAAAAATTTGAATTTTGAATTTTTGAAACAACGTCGGATGGACAAACAACAAAAATGAAAGTTGTTGATCTCGAAAAGTTATGAAACTTTGTAGTTGATAACTTTTTGATTTGAATTCATCTTGTCATGGAAAACTACATTTGAATTTCTTAAATTTGAAATTCAAATTTTGAAAACGACCTCGGATGGAGGAACTACCAAATGAAAGTTGTAGATCTCGAAAAGTTATAAAACTTTGTAGTTGACAACATTTCCATTTGAATTCGTTTAGGGCCTCAAACAATCAATTTATGCTCAGTTTAGTATAATATGTGGGGAACCAAAGTGCAATATAGACACAAGTGATTGCAAGGTGTAGTGGTAGAGGAGGGTATACAGGAGGGGGAGGTCACGGGTTTGAATCCTGTCGGCCACGAAGCATGCAATTCTTGTGTGAAAAATGTCTTGACTTTCTGCTATTTTTTCACTATTTTTTGCCCGGAATCGCATGATTTCTGAAAATTGATTTGTACGTACAAATCTTCAACCGCCTCTACAAATGCGATTTATAGGGGTGACTGGCCAACCGCCCCTACAAATCGGGGATTTGTAGCAACCCCTTCGTAGGGGCGGTTGGCAAAACTGCCCCTACAAGTCAATTCGAGCTGCCTCTACAAAACGTTCCTGTAGTAGTGATTGTACCAAGTGGGTTGAGCTCTGTTTGGACCTAGATGAGATATTAGCATTTTTAAAGATCAAGGACTGACTATGAATTCTATATAGTTATTAGTATTATGATGTGGCGGCAAACGCAGGCACATTGATCCAATCAAGTCTATATCTGGGCATATATGTAAATACCTTAACTATTATTGTTGTTATCTGAGAAAGAATATAGTTGTCGCCTCCTAATAAGTTAAACAATTTTAAGTTTATTCAAATCTATTAAAATAGGTTCTGACATATGATACCCAATAAAGATCTTCGATTAGGAAGAATACATGAATTTTTTTCATCACTAATTAGAGCCTTAAAGAGAACCTTCACGTTAACTCTTACTAGACGCATGACAAACAAAGATAAACTCTAAACACTCTAACAATAACTAGAACATCCGTACTTTAATTTGGTATACTCTAATCATTATCGCCAATAATAGTCATTGGATATATTTTTATATAAAAAAGTTACCCACCTCAGCCAATATGAAAATC